TCACAGAGAAAAAAATGTGAGAATGAGTGTGCATATGTCCATGAATGACTGAAAAATTGTGAACACTGGAATTTGACACAACATTGTAAAATGATTATAAATCAATAAAAAATGTTAAAAAAAAGAGGTAAAGGAGGAGGAGCCAGGATTATATGGGGGTTTTGCAACAAAAAACCAAGTGGTTGGAACATTAAAAGGTAACTTATTTGAAGAAAACCAGATATCTCAAGTTAATCAACTTAGCTCTTTTCTATGGATGGGGAGATGCAAGAGACTAGGCTCACTGAAATCATTCCTTTGATCTGCACCTTAACTGTCTAGGGCCCGTATCCTATTTTCCTCCATTCTGAATCCCCTCAGGGTGCACAGTTGCAGGTGGCTGCAGTGGCTGCTGGCTTGATGGCTGCAGCATCCTTTGTTTACTAATGTGGCAGGCAACATTTTTCATCCACAGCTAAGAAACTGAGATAGATATTAAATTAATTCATGATATAAAGCCATTACAATATTGAAAAAGTCCCAAATTTCAAATAGAAGAACCTTTGATCTATAAAGTGGAAGATGCCCCCAAAAGGGGGGCAAAAAGTAGCAATAAAGAAAGTAAAGATAATTATCAGATGGCAGAAATAAATCACAATAGAACAAAAATTAAATCAAGGTAAAAATTGTCATAGGGTTTTTTTTTTGACATTTAGAAATCTTATCAAACAAAACACACTGAAAATAAAGTAATAGAGACTTGTAGAGGGCAAATATGAATGCAAAGAAGATAAGTCTAAATTTTGATAAATGACTGAATTCAAAGTGAGCCTATTATAAAGGAGGAAAAGACTAGACTGTCATAGCAATACTACATGTAGAAGATACGCTTGTGACCCTGCAGGTTTATGGCAATACAGCCGAATAAACTCACATTCCCATGTTCCCACTAGAGCTATATAAAAACATTATTACCAACAAGCAGGGGGTTATTTTAAAGCCCACATGGAGCATTAAGACAAATTTACCATATAAATCCTTCAGTGAATCCTGCGTTACCACAGAGGATGGAGAGGGGCATTATAAGGGAATTCTGTGTAACTTACAGCTGCCTCTGTGTGGTTCAGGCTGGGCTTGAGGCGTCAGGGGTCTGGAGGAAATGAGAAGGGGAAGGCGAGGCACATTTAGAAAGAAAATATGTACCAAACACGCTAGGGATGTTTGAAGAACTAACTCCACCCTGAGGCTTTGACCCTTCCTCCTCCTCTTCATCCTGCAGGTTTGAAGGGCCAGGGCCTTGCTCACGTGAACCCACTCCTGGCTTCTGGATGTAGCAGAAGTGCACAGGGCTGAATGTTTCTGGCCCCCCGCAAATTTGCATGTAGAAATCCTAACTCCTAAAGATGATGGGAGGTGGGGCTGTGGGAAAGTGCTTGTGAGCTTCCATGAATGGGATTAATGCCTAATAGAAGAGACCGCAGAGAGCTCATTAGCTTCCTCCCACCATGTGAGGACACAGAGAGAAGACTCTGGCTGAGCCAGGAAGAGAGCTCTCCCTCCAAGGTGACCATGCTGGCAACTTGACTGTCTACTTCCCAGCCTCCAGAACCACAATAAAAACATTTCTGCTGTTTTTAATCTACCCAGTCTATGATATATTGTTAGAGCCACCTTAATGGATTAAGACAACATGTTTCAAACCTTATGTGGAGAGTGGGGACGGTCTTATTTTTGCAAACTGAGAATACATTGGGTAGAAAGATTTTTTTAAGAAGATTTTGGATTCTTGGATTTAAAAGTACTGGATTGGCTTAAGAAATGATGAGTGTGTGTGTGCACGCGCTTGCATGTGTGTTTGCAGTATGTCCCAAAAGCTTTGTGCAGTTTAAAGCTAATAACCCCAGAATTAGAAGTGCTATATTGCAAGGATGCAAGGATTTTTCAATACACACAAATCAAACAGTATGATACACCACATTAACTATAACTAACGGAAGAATAAAAAATACGATCATCTCAATGGATGCAGAAAAATCTTTTGAGAAAATTCAACATCCATTTATGATAAAAACTCTCCAGAAGGTTGGCATAGAGGGAACATACTTCAATATAATAAAGGCCTTATATGACAAACCCACAGCTAACATCATACTCAATGGTGAAAAGCTAAAAGCATTTCCTCTAAGATCAGGAACAAGAAAAGGGTGCCCACTCTCACCACTCTTATTCAACATAGTTTTGGAAGTCCTAGCCACAGCAGAGAAGGAAAGGAAATAAAAGGGCTACTAATTGGAAAAGAAGTAAAATTGTCACTGTTTGCAGATGGCATGATACTCTGCATAGAAAATCCTAAAGACGCTACAGGAAAACGCCTAGAACTCATCAATGAAGTTGGTAAAGTTGCAGGATACAAAATTATACACGGAAGTCTGTTGCATTTCTATACAGTAACAATGAAATGTTAGAAAGAAAAATTAAGGAAACAGTCCCATTTACCATTGCATCAAAAAGAATAAAATACCTACGAATAAGCCTACCTACAGAGGCAAAAGACCTGCACGGGCAAAGAAAAAAAAGGAAATAATGCCATTGCAGCAACATGGACGGACCTAGAGATTATCGTAGGAAGTGATGTAAATCAGACCAGAGAATCACAGATATCATATAGTATCACTTATGTGTGGAATCTTAAAAAATGATACAAATGAATTCATTTACAAAATAGAAAGAAACCCACAGGCATAGAAAACAAACTATGGTTACCAAAGAGGGAAGGGGCAGGGGGAGGGATAAATTAGGAGTTTGGGATTAACAAATACACATGACTAGGTATAAAATAGATAAACAACAAGGATCAACTGTACAGCACAGGGACCTGTAATAACTGATAACTTGTAATAACCGATAATGGAAAAGAATCTGAAAAAGTATGTATCTATATGTATAACTGAATCACTTTGTTGTACACCTGAAACTAACATAGCACTGTAAATCATCTACACTGCAATTAAACAAGAAATGCTACAAACTGACAAGAATATCATCTGAAAGTTTAACTACTTGTAATTCTTTCATACTTATGAATTAAAAAAAAATTAATTTTTTGTGTGGAGGTCCTTCTGATATAAAATGCTCTAAAACACACACTACTCAGAGGTCACAAAACTAATAAGTGTGAAAGGAACCTAAATTCTGTGGCTGGATTTATACAAGACACAAACATCATGTGGGGAAGTTGGAGTTGAGGACAAAGGACATCCTGGGGAAACAGCCAAAATTTCAGGGTCAACATCAGGTTGTCAGAGGCTCTGAAACTGATGGGCCTCGAGTCAGCAGCTCTAAAAGATGGGGGAACCAGGTAGTATCTTGGTTCCAGACGGAAAGAATAGAAAACTGGCTGAGGCCTCTCTGATGGGATGAGGAGTTGGAAGGAGAGATCTAGAAACCCCAGGAGGTACAGGGACCACTGAGGCCAGATGGTGGGGAAGGGGGAGTGGTTCAGCCAAGTCCTCTTATGCCCTCCCCCATTGCCCCTCTTCCACCCACAAGAGCCCTTTGTGACAAGGCCATAGCTTTGTGATGCAGACAGGAGGTTTTGCCCTCCTGCAGACTCCCAGTGCTCCATTGCCTGAAGGCAACCGTGCAGTTCAGAAGATGGAGAATCTCTTCTCTTTGAACAGCGTTATTGCTACTTGGCTGAGCTCCAGTCCGACTTCTTGGGTTACGGACACCATCTTCGCCGTCCTCTGCGGACTGGGGCTTTTCCTCCTGTTACTCCCCTGCTTGCCGGGGAGTCCATCCTTACCACCACCCAGGAAACAAAGAAACATCAAGAAGGTAAAGAATCTTCGGGGTTCAGCTCAAGCCCAACGGAGATTCTCTTTTTTTTTTTTCCTTATTATTATTTCCATTTTTCTAAATCACCTAGAGTAACACCCAGGATGGGAACTCCCAGGAGAGTATAGAACATCATTTTTCTAGGGACAAGTCAGGCCAGACAGGGGTTAGGGTGGACATGAGGATTTCTAGCCCAGGATCTGAGATCAAGAGTCCAGGGCAAGTCCCAAACGCAGCAACCAGTGGCTCAGGACTGGATTCCTCAGTTTAGTCTGCAGGAAGAGTGATCCCTGAGCTCTGGTTCACAAGCCACCTTCCCATGGCAGGTGTCACAAGTGAGCTTTTCCTCTGTGTTGGGGCTGATCTGAGGCAGTGCTGAGCCCCCCGAGAGCCTCAGAGCAGAGGCTGGAGTGCAGGTCTGGCCTTGGGAAGCAGAACCCTATCGAACAGATGTCACACGGGCACTTAGGTCTGAGGATGTGTGTGTTTCTTGATGAGAGAAACAATGATAGAGGAAATCCGTAGTAGGTATCACTTAGAAAATCCCTCTTTGCATTCTTCAAAGAAAAACTGAAAATATTGTTACCCACTTTAAAATTAAATAAAAGGGGAAAAAACCCACAGAGCTCCATGAGTTAGAAGACAGTCACACTGTCCATGAACACTGGGCATCTTGTCTTAGAAAAGGAGAGTTAAAATTTGGTGCCATCCCCCGCCTTTTTTTTCCTCATCAATCAGCATCAAGTACAGCCGAAGGGAAGGAGCAGGAACAGGAAGAAAGGCGGAGCTTTGAAAGGTGAGCCCCTGCCACTCAGCCCTGCATGTCCCAAAAGTTAGCTCCCACCCTTCCTGTCCCTGAGGGCCCAGCTCCATGGTCTCTGAGGATTCCAGTGGCAGAGTCCATTCTTCAGAAAACAGCTTTGAGCAGGATCCTGGGAAGGAGATTTGAGCCCGGATACTTTCCAGAAACTTGTGCTCAGAATGAAGCCATGAAGGGCCTGGAAATGGGCTCTGTGGGCTGTAGGGGACCAATGGTGCCTGGCTGGGAGGTGGGACCTCCAGGTCCAACTATGAACAAGTTGTTTAACTTTGCTCAGATTCCTCTGAGATGACTACTGGCCTTTCTCCCCTACAGAGCAGCGATAAGGGCCACCGGGGGGTAGTGAATGTGGAAGCACTTTGCAAATGACAAACCCATCCATGAGCCTTGCCATCACTGCCAGGGACACATGGCCTTAGACACTGATGCCTGGGCTCCAGAGTGTAATACCTCAAAGATTGCCTTTAAAGGGACTTGGCACTCCTCAGTCTCCTGAAAGACTCTTAGGCCTCTGCCTTCCCCACCATGACCCAGTCTCCTGATTTTCAGCTTGCAGAGACTATCTGCAGGAACTGGAGAGCACTCGCAACATGGTTTCACTTCTACAAAGGTAAAGAATCTTCCCCTTCTTTCCTGGGTCCTCCTTCCTCTCAAAACCTACAAGTGACCCCAGCCCAGGGATGGGGAGCCATGAGAGGGTGTGGCTAAAGCCCTGGGGTGAGCAACAGCAGGTGCATTATGATGTCAGTGTTGCGGCAGAGGAGGTGCCCCCCCGCCCCCCTGCCTGGCCTGCCCAGCCCTCCGGGGCCCCATCTGCTCCTGGCTGCAGCTTCTGCCTCCCATTTCCTGCAGCCGCATCGGGAAGCTCCCTGACAAGGGCAGCTTTCATCAGCCCTCACGTCAGGACCCCTCTGGTGAGGTTTGCAAAGCAGTGCCTGCTGGAGCCCACCAGCTATGCGGGGAGCCTGTGGAAGAAGCTGCTCCTGCCATGTCCCCGATGGCTCCTCTGACCACACATCCTCCACCGCTGGCCTCCAGCAATTCTCCAGGCTCGACAACCTCCTCAGTTTCTGTTCATCCACACACATTACTGAGTTCCTTTCAGCCTTCCCTTCCGCCTGACAGCCCTTCACCCTGGCCAGTTGCTCCTCCTCCTCCCTTACCATGTCCGCCTGATTCAGAGGGCTGCCCTCCACCTCTGACAGCCCCAGCACTGCCAAACTCAATTCTGACTCTCCCACTGGGCACTGTCCCACAGAGCATGTCTCCACATACCCCTTGGTCAGCTTCTCTTGCCCCAGGCATTTCAGGCCTTGGTCACTCAAGCTGTCCCACTTCAGCCCTGTCCCGGTGGCAAGCAGCTGCCAAAGCCTTGTGCCCCGCGACCTCCTCACAGTGTGAACCGCAGAAAAAGCACCTTTCCCACGACCCACCAAAGGCTTCATTCTTGGGAAGCCCCACAGACAGACAGACAGAGGCTAGTCGCCCCTCTTTGCTCAGCTCTGATGACCAGAAGCTCCCGGAGATACAAATCACAAAGACAGTTGAGATCAAGATTTGGAAGGAGAAAGAAAAACATGAATCATATCTAAAACGAATGAGCCCAGACCGCCACCTGAATTCCTCAGGGAATATGTTGAAATCACTGGATGCTGAGCAGGACACCACACCCTCCCAACTGCCAGGTCCTCCACAGCTCTCATATCCCAGTGTGCTGGGGAACCATCTACAGCAGAAGTATAACCAGCTTTTCTGGGGTCTCCCTTCTCTGCACAGTGAATCCCTGGTGGCTACTGCCTGGATCTCTGAGAGCCCTTCAGCACCACAATCTCCTTCTTTCCTTTTCAATGGAATTTTGAATGCCTGCCCAGTTCAAATGCAAGCTAAAACATCTCCACTGCTTTCCCAGTCCCAGCCCTTGTTCCATCTGGAATTCCAAGCCCGGCCCTTTATTCCAACAATGCCTCAATTTCAGCCCCCACCTCTGGCTCGGGTCCAAACCCAGGTCCACCCCCAGTCCTCCCTCCCAATCCAACCACCTTCCTCTCCACCCCAAATTAGGCCCCGTGAAGTATCTTATCCTACAGCACAGTATAATCCACAATCTTTTAACCCAACTGAGGTTCAACCTTCAGAATGGTGCTTGTTGCAGAAGCAACTAGATGAGTGTTCTTTATGCTCTGGAGTCAAAAAACCTCAGGAAGCCTTTAATGTCTTTACTTCCAATCTTTCTGAGGACAGCTGGGCAGTATCTATCCTCCCTAAGAATTTTCCAATCAGTCCTGAGCTCCGGAAGCAACTGGAACAACATCTCCAAAAGTGGCTCATCCAACACCGGTGGGAGCTGCCCCAAAGGATCCAAGAGTCTTTAGAAACAAGGCAGCTTCAAGGTGAATTACCAGGGATGTGCGAGGCAAAGGGCCAGCATGGGCCCTCACGGCCCTCTTCCCTTACAGGTGAAAGTAGCAAGGATGCACAGAAGGTGGGGTTTCAGCTGAGCCAGGACCTGGGCCAAGGCCTGGGGCACATTCTGGGGGAGGTCCCAGAAGACCCTTCCAGGAGCTCAGGAAGCTGCCGAGTAAAGTTTTATGGGGTTAACCCTGAGGAGTCAGAGAGTGACTTGCGGCTCTTGAGGAATGACTCAGGAATTGATTTACTAAGGCGCTTAGACAAGAATCTGGAAAATATCCTGAAAGGTCCTTTGGGCAAGAATTTAGGACAGATCAGTGAGGGTCTGAGGCCTGGGAATGTGTGTCAATCCTGGCTTGCTCTTAATCATGCTTCCCCCAAGTCTGATACTCACATGGAAACCAGAAATCTGGGAGTTTTGAAGGGTTGGAAACCCTATGTGAACACCTCCCGTAGGGTTTCCTTCCTTGATCCAGACATTCGAAAGATGCTAGACACCCATGTTAAAAGGTTTTGGGTAAAGCACAGATGGGGCCTACCCCTCAAGATCCTGCAGCTCATAAATTTCTTTAAGTCGAAAAAGACTCAACCCTCACCCATTCAACAGGTTAGCTTTTACCCCTCAGCCACCTGTGTATCTGGGGCCCACTCAACAGTCAAGTTTGCGGAGTTCCTAGGAAAACCTCCGCAGGCCGATTTGGTAAAGAAGGTGATAACAGAAAAGTCAATTTCCAGCCTGGTGAGGCCTCTCCTAGCTCCCTCACTTGTGTGTGAGGAAATCCAGAGGACCGTAGAATGGATCCCATCTGGTGACCACTATGGGCCCCCAAAGGCCTCTCTAACTGAACAGGAGGGAAAGCCGCCCTCCCAGTCCCTCACTCGCAGACTTGTGGGCAGAATCTGGAAGAGAGAGACTGTAGAGGGGGCCAAAAGGGACAGCCTAGAGTCACATCTAAGTTCAGCAAAGGCCAGGAATGAACCAAGAGAGGAGAGTGGTGGTCAGGCCTCACGAGACTCCAGCCATCGGGTAACAATGCTGGGGGTGAACTTAGGGTCCCAGTCTTTGGGAGCTGAAGAAGCCAGGGAGGCTGTGGAAGCTAAGAAGCTCTCTGCTCTTCAACCACAGCCTAGAGGTATCTCGGGAACAAATACGTTGACAAACCCCCAAACCACAAATGTACCTATGGGGAGTGTAGAGGCCCTGGGGACAAGGAAAATCTCCCTGCTCCCTAGAATGTCTGTTTTCCGGCATCCAGGTGAGCCAGGCCTTAGCACAGAGGTTGTTAGCGACTATACGCCCAAAGTGGAGGTACAGTCAGACAGCCAGCTTCAAGACGGTCCCAAACACATGTCCCCTATTGCAGACAACTTGGCCTCTCAGGGGCCCCAGTGCCATTCCCAGACAGTGCCCACTGGAGACAGGTTAGCTTCCCGGGTGCTAAGTGGCTTCACAAAGACCCAAAGGAGTGGCCAGGGGCAGGAGAAGCCCAAGACTTCAAAACTTCAGGATTTACGGAAGAGCCAGAGCAAGACACCCGCCCCGGCCGACGAGAGAGAGGACTCTCTGAGGCCTAAACCAGGAGCGCATGAAGAAGGGTGTAAAGAATCAGGGACCTCTCAAGCTGGAAGCGTGAGCCGCCCTGCCCAGGTGAGGGGAATGATAAGCCCTTTTGGGAGGAAATATCTCCAGGTGACGCCAGAGAAGAAGCAGGGGCCGACAGAAAGCTTCTTCAAAAACAGGCTGAGGCTCTTTTTCCAGTGGATTTTCTCCAGGAAAAAAATTAAAGGCTGGGATTTTCCTCAAAGGTGCAAGCCCGTCCCAGCTACTACCCGGAGCCAAGCACCAGTCAAAAGCAGATCAATTTTGAACACTGAGACCACTGAGGCTCAGGCACTCATGACGGCTCTCGGACAGATTCTAGAAGAGAAAATGGCGGTTCACCATGGCCTCCATGCCACAAAGTTAGAGGCACACAAACCAGAACTCCAAGCCCCTGCATGGGGGCGCTTTTGCTACCACAGGCTTCCCTGCTATCAGAAACAAGAAAGGATGCTGAGTTACACAGCCTGCAGCCACCAAGCCACCTCCAAGGACCGGGGCGGTTCTACCAGGGAGAGCGAAGTCACACCCCAACAGTTCTTGAAAAGTGTAAGATTCAGCAATGAGCAGCTGGGCCTGAGGTGCCGCCCATCTTTGCCCCTCAAGAACACTTTGTCTCCAGTCAGTCCCTGCCAGCATGGGCCAAGGGTGTCAGGTGCCCCAGCCCCCCGTCCACACTGTCCGAGGCACTGTCCAAGGGGAGGTGCCTTGTCTGGTCAACCATAAAATGCTTCTCCAGCCTTTCCTTTAGTAGGAAAGCATGTCTCCAAGAAAAAAATTCAGTCCATGTAAAGAAAATGCTTTTCTCATTAACCCTTTCAAAACATTTAATGTTCCCTAATACATATATTTTGTTTTTTCTCTAAGAGCATAGTGTAATGGTTTCTGTCTGTGCTGTGTACTTTGTCTTCTAGAAAGCAGGGGCGTGGAGGGAGGTAGACAGGAACATTGCAAGCTTGCTCCTTAGTGCAAGTTCCTTTATTGTACCTTATAAATACTGTCATTACACAAACCAAAACCACTCTCTAAAAACAAGATGGGAAAAACATGAAGACCACACCCCAGGATTTGTTTCAGTCCGTCTTTCTCCTGCATCTGCTCTATGTTGAAATTTATGCGGGTATTATGGGTAGGTTTGCAGAGGCATTAGAGCTGGACGTTCCTCCTGAGGCTCCAAGAAATGTCAGAGCTAAGAGGGTAGAAGTTTAAGGTGGGTGGGGTTGTAAGCCCTGGGTTCAGCAGCAGGAGAACTCTTGCCCGTGGCTCCCCTAGTGGGAACTATATAATACAGGCCCCTAAGAGTTCCTCCTCTCCCTCATGGGCTGGGGTTGAGATGTAACCAAAGAACCCCTCTTAACTTAGCCTTAAGAAAATGGTCAGCATTACCCTCCCTCACCTCTGCATTTCCCACACTTTAGAGCAGCAGCAAGCGAGGCTCTGCCAGCTGTGTGTGTGTAGGTGGGAGACTATCAGGGGAGGCTACTGACGGCTGTCTTGAGCCTTGTCCAAATAAATGCATGGCTCTGTTCATGGGTCGTTTGCCTCACCCTCTGTGTTAACCCCAGAGGAGGAGTTCTGGATGAATGGAACAGGGATGTGCAGTAACTGATGGCCAAACCCTGTGAACCTAGGGTGCGATGTAGGTGCAGCACAAAGGTTGGATCCAAGGAAGGAGACAGAATGGCACCAGGTGCCCATAAATGTGCAGTGAGAGAGCTACCCCCTGACATACATGGCACCACCATCTAAATGCCTGGAGAGGAGGAAAAGTTAAGAGTCCAGTAGCTTGTCATGGCCCCACCTCGGGGTCTCTACCCTATTCCAACTCTACGATCACAGACCTAGAGGAGCTAACTTGAGGTCAAAACAGGTCAGATTTGCAGAAGTAAAGCAAATTGGGGGAGGTCAGTCTCAACATTATCTTTAATAAGCTTACACACCATCATCTCTTGAATTCTAGAAATGATGACTTAACAACAGGTGTCAAAGCCATGACTCAGGGACCCAGGATGTGACTCCCAGTCTGGTGACCTTTCCATAAACACATGGCCCAAAAACTGCTCCTGGGGAGATGTGGGGACTTAAAAGGCCAAGAGACTGGCTTGTGATTATGTAGTAAGTCTTACCTGGTTCCCAGTCCTCACTTACCCCAGAGCCTCGCACGAGAAGAAATCAGAATTTGTCACAGGGTGGTGGTGATGTGGGGGTGACCTCTTCAAAATCTGGGGGCAGGGTACAGTCCAGGGGTGTTCCACTGCTCTGCTTCTATTACAGCTTTTCCTGTCCTCTGGCCCCCACCTATACGGGAAAGCAGGGAGGTGAGGAACAATTTCTCTAGAGTGATTTGATGCTTTCTGCCACATGCAGGGCAAACAGCGGGCAAAGCTGCTAGGGGGAGAGGCTTTCCCACTGTGGGGAGTCCTGCTATGGCTGATAGCCCTGATCCAGGTGACAAGAGAAATGGGCCCCAATCCCAATATCCGTCGAACTCCTCAACACATGGCACTGGGACTGGGGGTGGAGGGGCAGGTGTGGCGCAGGACTGCTCGCCATCCTTGTTTCTCACTGGAGCCAAGTCCTGCCTCTGGGCCCCCATTCTCAAGGCAGCCTCCAGAAAGGAGGAGTTTTCGAAAGCGGAGCAGTGAGCAGCAAGCATGAAAGCTGGACCCAGGGCAAAGAGTTGACTCTGGTCCCTTGGGAGCTCAGAAGAGCATGGCGCGGGGCTGGGGTGCTCAGTCTCGCTGCTGCTGCTGGGTTCTCTCAGGGGCACCCAGAAGTGAGTTCTGCGAGTATGGGGGAGCTGGGTGTGGGCCCCGCTGCTCCTGCCAGGAGAAGTGTCCCAGACAGACAATGCTGATGGAACTGCAAGAAAACAAAGAAGCAAGTCCCTTTGCCCGTCTCCTGCCGCTCAGTCTTCCAGCACAGGAAGACCAGAAACGGAGAGACCCACGCAGAGACAATACACAAAGACGTCATAGAGACATCTCTCAAGAGAGACCTCTCACACAGACACCTCCCACAGAGTCACATGTTGCCCCACAGGGACTGCATATGTGTTGCCTTACAGACCCTCAGATATAAAGCAAGCACAGATTTAGCAGAGATTTCCTAGAGATACCTCCCAAAGAGGGAGATACCTCATACAGTGCGTTCAGAGACCTTGTGCAGAGACCTCATGTGGCCTCACCAGAGATGTCACAGAGAAACACAGAGACTTCAAGATAGTACACAGAGACCTCCCCTGCCCCACAGAGACGTCTCACTGAGACCTTACCCAGATAAGCCACAGAGACTTGGCACAAAGACCTCACAGAGACCTCACGTCTACTCTTCAGGATCCTGAGCAGCCATGCATTGACAAGCCTTTCGTAATGAATATGAAACCACTTAGCAAACTGGCAGCAAGAAAAGGATGCCATCAGCTGTGTCCCCTTGAGATCCACCAGACACTCAGACACTGTCAGCATTACTCTAAGTGGGGTTCTCTGCTTGGGCAAATACTCGGCAAGTTTTGTTATCCTCTAATGTCATTGCCTCTGAACAAAAGACTTACATATTCCACATGCAGATCTGTGAAACTAATTCTTCAGGTTTTCATTAGCTTGAGAATCACAGATTTTTAAACACAAGTAAAACACCATCAGCCTCCATGAGAGAAAATACCTGTCCAGGTTTATTATCATCTAGTCAAACGGTGTCTGTCACGTTTTTTGTCTTACTGGGGACAAGACTTGAACTTGAGATGGCTTACTTGTTTCCTTTGGAAACACAAGAAATACCTGCCAAAAATGGACTCCAGGAATGAAATAAGCTAGGAAAGATGCCTCAGGGCTCACATTCACTTCCAAGAGGGCTATGGAGCCGGCACATTATTTCAGACACTACCGCTTGCAACAGGTTTGTGGGGTTTGCTTTATTTTTTAACAAGCCAATAAATAACATGAGGGTTTTTCACAAGCCAAATTCCTAGTTATTAATATTCTTATATCATTTGGCAAAATTATGCCTCTTAATATTATTTTATTTCTTAAAGCGTAGTAATGCCCCAAAATGATATTACATATGTTTCCAGGATATGACACCATCCTAATGTTCAGCTAACATACTTAAAAGGACAGGTTATTAAGGATTCATTTTAAAATAATTCTATGAAATGTATATTTTCTGACATGCAGTCAAGACCCACTTTATACTCATTATAGGGTTAAAAAAGAACACACTGCTTCAACAATTTTTGAAATATAAAATATATCACTTAATCCATGCTTGAGGTTATACAGATGGCTTAATAAAACTACTGAAAAGGGGGTATCTTAATATCTGAATTGAAGAGAATGCACATTTAATCAACATTTGGTTTATTATAATGAATAGCGTAAGCTTCATAGATACTTAACACTTTCCAAAGGGTGTACTTTGATAAGACTTATTTCTCACTGCTAATAAGCAACCTATTGTCCTTGCCTTGGAAAATCTATTCTAGTGACAGCTGTCAAGCATGCATGACCCGTGAAGTCTCTCAGATTATCCAGCATCCCATGACTGCATCACAGTCCTTTCTCTAAGAGGAGCAGGTCTGACACAGGGGCTCCTTTGGCTTATTTCAACAAGAAATTGAGTTTTTCTATTCTCCTAATTAAAAAATGTATAAGTATTACTTTTTCCACTTTACAACCTTAAAATGTCTTTGAACCGGAAAACAATGAAATATGGTCATGTATGGAATGCAATACTCTATCAGATAATTTTTTAATTTATAAGTTTTATTTTTATTAAAGTGTAATTGATTTACAATGTTAGTTTCAGGTTGTCAGGTCATTTTTTAAAAGAAATATTTTATTTGTTTTTGTTTTGGGGGAGATAATTAGGTTTATTTATTTACTGATTTATTTTGATGGAGGTACTGGGGATTGAACCCAGCTCTACCACTGAGCTATACCCTACCCCCTACAAGGTTATCAGATCATTTTTAAATAGTGCAGCTTATGCAGACAAGTTTATCGATCAGAAAAAAATGAATTTAATTAGGAAAAAGCTCATACAGGAAAATATCCTTTTCAAGTTGACTATTTTAAAACAGTTAAAATAAATTATTCTTTAGTCCCTTCAGTTAAAGTTGCTAAGGGTGGCCAAGAAAGTCTGGAAATATGATAAATGTTCATAAAAGTACTTTATTGCTATAACACATTGAATGTGCTGTTCCTCATTAGTAATTCAAAGTTCATTAAGCTGTGCAAAATTACAATGAACAATGTGCATTAAACAACTCCCATCAGTCACTGGACATTCATCTGTCATACATGCCTCAGATGATTTGTGTGTCTAATTTTCATGGAAAAATTTCTTTACCCCAAAATAAGAAATCACAGGGGAATCAATCTATCAAAAAGCTATTAATAAGCAGACATCTATGTTTGACATCTATATCTGTGGTCATCCATATTTTGTTTTTAATAAGATTCACCTAGTGCAAATCTTAAAAACATTTCTGTATGTTCAGACAAAATAGATATCAAAAATTAGATAACAGAAAACAACAACAGATCCCCTTTGGTTTTAAAAAATTTACATCAAAGCATTTTGTTGAAAATGACATGATTTTTAATCAACAGTTAAAACGCACTCTATAATGATACTTAGAATATAGTACATATTTTTATTTTTTTAAAAATAGATTGTTATTTAAAACAAGTCTCACACCGATTTTGATAAACAAGGCACTCTAGAACAAAATGTTGAGGCATGGCAATTATGTGATGATTTCTTAATA